CTCATGAGTCATGATTAATCTATAGCAAAGTTTCATTAACTTCTAAATGATAAACAACAATTCTATGTTAATACTCCGAAATTCAATATTTTGATGGATACTGAACTTAAAAAGTAGTCATTTTTATAGGTTGTCATCTAAGTTAAAAATGTACTTCCTCCATCTGCCACAAAACATTTTCAAATTGACTTGTCTTTTAAGGTGAGTTGAAAAATGTGAAAATTTACTAAAATACTTTTACTAAAATTCGGTTGAATATATTAAATGAGATGTAATAAATAAAACGAATAGCTGTGACAATTTAAATATTATTTTCAAAATTGAACCAGTCAAGATATGATTCACTAGTTTACTAGTCCAATCAATGGTTCGATGGTTCAAGGGCAATGTTCAACAATGATGGGGCAATGACACAAAGCATCACTCCTCCCCTTCCTCCATGAGTCATTGCAGACCGCCTAAAGTTCATATTCTCAAACGGGGTAAAATGTTTGAGCAAATTGCATTTTGCTTATAAATGCGGCCCACACACAAGTCTTGAGATTACTACTTCTGTCTCAGTTTATTTGTCCAGTTTGTTTTTTTTGAATCAAACTAGACAAACTTTGATGTCCAATTAGTCTCAATTTATATTGCATATTAGCATAATGACAATACAATTTTGTAAATTCTCAATAATATATGATGGGTATATCCTTATACCCGACCCGGATAACCGAAAGGGACAGGTCAAAACATGACCGGTCACTTTTATCAAGTCACCAAATGATGTTAACTCTTCGATTGGGACGGGTCAAAAATTGACCGGTCACTTTCACTAAAAAGTGACCGGTCACATTTTGGGCGATAGCCAATTCGCCACTTAATGTTGCGAAGGATATTCCAGAGGACCAAAGAGATGGGTTGAACTCGAAAATGACCGGGTAACCTTTGAGGAAAGGTGACCGGTCAGGTTGCGCTACTTGAGAAGGGCAATCAACATCAGAGGCTAGAGGACACCCCGCCGCTCATCCATCACGAGGCAAACAGTGAAGGGAATGATTGGCGTTTGCAGGATTGATTGGATTGAGAATATCCATGTTATAGTCTTTGATTGAACAGTGCATGTCTTGGCTTGTAGTTGCTATATTCATTGATTGAATAGTAAATTGATTATGTACAGTGACCTTCCTCCGGGTTTCCCATTTTGTCCATGGATGAACAGGGGAAGGTCACAAATCCTCCTCTATAAATATGATGATATTGGATAGAGGAGGGGATCCATTCTTTCTCTCACTAAAAACTAGTACACTCTTGAGACATAGTAAGAAATATATTTCGGACTGAGGAGATTTACCCGGTCTAGGTCATACTTTGTGTTCTTGTTGTGTGTTTTATATTACGGGTCGAGTGTCCAGGTCAAACCCGGTTAACCCACCCAGCTATATTTACACCATCATTTTTGGCGCCATCCGTGGGACCGATTTTTAAAGTTTTTTCGACCAGGTCAAAACTTTACCCCCACTAAATATCCACAATCATGTCTTCAAGCAACCACAACACTGTGTCAAGCCAGGCTGCGAGTGAAAGCACTCCTGCCATCCCATTGATGATGCCAAGCATGGGGACGACCTTTGCCCCGATCACCGCTGT